TTACCTTTTTCTAAACATGGGAAGATCAATTTAGTATCGATGCAAAAACTCGATCGAAACTTTCTCATACATGAAAAAAATCCTGGAGTCAAATTCTGTATATTTATGAAACTCCCATGTCGTCTAATGTTTTATATATCCGAGTTATCTATCATTCCAAACTTTTTACGACATTTCGTTTATTGTAACGTTGTTGGTATATATGTATAGTTACGGAGTAAGGATTTTGTGGTCTCCACTACGTTTTTCTGTGGGTGATTGTGCTCCGTTGGCTGGCACAACTCTTCTGGCAAAATATCCCACCTATTAGGACCAAAAAATGGCAGATCAACGAAATCCATAGACAAAGAAGAATTTTAACTTTTTGTGTGTTTTGTTGCCTGTTAAATCATACTTTTGCATCGTGCATCATATTCCAATTATCAAATCATGGGCCGCACAAACCAATTTTTGTGGTCGTTCAGCGTTATAGCCGTCTAGTGAAAAAAGACCTACACTTGTGGGTATTTTGTGCCGTTAACGTTGAACAGAGGAGTCCACCTCAAGGACAAGTTGATTTCAATGGTGGTACTGGATATTTTAACGTTCGCAAAATCGATTAACGCGATTTCCCGCTTATCTGCTCCTGTGCACACTTTGATGCGTTTTCACCTATCCTTACTCATCGGCCGGAGCAACCTGGATAACCATCACATACTTGAAGTTCAATCTACTGAGTCATCACGTAGCGACGCTTTTATAAGTTGTTTATCTTTTATAGGCTGTCCTTGTGAATGTTTCCCTATCCCAAGCGGCCATAGCTAGCGGGTCCCCACATTGTATTGAACAGTGTCGATGTTACACGTACACCTCGCCCCATGTCTGTCATCACCCATTCACGGCTCTCCTCCCCGCCAGAGGCGTTCAACTCCACGGCGTGTTTGTGGTTCGGTCGGGTTTCTGATGGACGACCGTCATGGCGTCGTGTACAGACGGCACTGCCGGCCGGAATGTTTGCCGATCTCGACTGTTCACGGGAAATAACACGAGGACTGGCAACATTCCAACCGTGTCTACATGTTTGTTGTCTTGGCTCGGAAAGATTGTGTATTTTTCCCATGTACCGATGAAATACTGCGGGTCTTGCCAACCAAGTTACCATAGCCAGGCCTTCCGAAGTACCTACTACGGCCTGTCCTGTGAGGGACCAGTCGGCTGATCTGAGAAGATGCTGACATAGCATCAATCCAGTAGAAAATAGCCTTGTTCGCGTTAGCGAGTGATGTCTGGCCAGTCAATGTGCAGCAGAGCTTACTGCCAACACAGGTGGTTAGCGGGTAAAGTTTACCCACATGCTCGTGGCGATGGCCTCTGTTTTCAAACAAATTCTCCGTTGTGTTCTGTGCTCTACCAGGGCTGAAGGTCGCCCCCTTCTCTTCAACCGAAAATATTGTGTACTTTGAATGTAGACGGGTGCCTACAGCTAGACTGTCTGAGTTCTCTTTCTTTCCAACACCGACAGTGATTCGTCAATTTCTAGTCCATCACTATCACTGTTGGTACTAAATATCTCAGATTCATACTTTCGTATAACACTGATGTTAGTGTATCGATATCGATATAATGATTGCTCCTATTCGTCAATGGTAAAGGTAAAAGTAGCCCCGTAGCCTTTTTGAGGCCGTAGGGGCAGTGAGATGATAATTCGCTGTGTTTAATAGGGGCATGGTATTGGAAGGCGGAGCAGCCCTCTCCTTCCACCGCCTTTTACCTCCCCAACCGAAGTCGGGTACCCAATTGACACCTGGTTTGAGTGAGGAAAGTCATGTAATGTTGCTTTCCCAAAGGCACAACGTCTACCTAGGAATGCAAGGAATCGAACTCGTGACCCCTTGATCTCGGGTCCGCTCGCATAGCCTTTCTATGCCACTCATTGTATAGATAGTTGATTATTGAAGAATAGATAATTTTGGCAAAAACGTCACCGAAACCCCAGTGAAACTTAAGATGAAGATTGCTTCATCTGTCAGCGCTCTGAAGCACGTTAATCCTGGCTGCGGTCAAAGCCGACACATGTTTACGTTCCATTAAGGTGTGGATGCCGGTAACGGACAGAAGACTTCAGGTGTGAGGTGTTCAGATGAAGCTCAGTGCACAGTCTTGCTTTCACGAGTTATGCCACGAGGGACTTAAAGGCCAGTGTCTTATAGAATTTCGCCTGTATTATCTAATTTAGGGCGTGGTCACGTTCGTCGTAAGTAGTCGATTTTGATGCTGGCTAACTTCACCGGCAGGCTGTGACACAACCAACATCCGACAATGATCTAGGACAGCTTTTCCTGTAACAAGACAACTGAATTTTGCAGGACAAATACATGACTATCCTAAGAAAGTTGCGATCGCACGATGATCGTACAAAGTACGAGACCGAGCCCTTAAGGGATTACATGGTCCGGTTCCATCACTATTTTCAGCATCAGACAGTCTTGCTCTTCATCTCGACTAAAAGAGTTGAACCTTTACACCGCAGTTGGCCCTTTCATCAGACTCGGCTACTCTACACCCGGCATTATCGGATCAACCGCTAACTACACCTTTACTACACGTCTCCTTAAACATACAGTCCATTCATCTGCCTTCCTTCTCAGAAATGTGATAAAGTTCACGCCTTGAGAATCCCGCCACATGCGGAGTCCGGTCTATACACGGCCGCGCGGCCCAGTTTGTATTTTCCCCGCCAGGCGTGCACCCCGCGGGGGAGGGCGCGGGGATAGCGATGTACGCGCTACAAAGGGATACACGGAGCGCCTTTCAGTCCCAGGTGTAATGTTTCCACCCATACAATAACATTTATTCAAGGCACAAGAGGAGAAGTTTATGCAGGGTGATCTGTTTACTCAACCTTCTTGTACTTGTTTGTTTCAATTCTATACTGCTATGTAAATTGTCTCCTGCGTTTGGAGCTCAGAAGGGGAGATATTGTTCGCCCAGGAGGGTCCCGCGCGTCCCGCTGCCATGGCAACGGCGTGTCGAACAAGAGAAGACACTTCAGAGGGCTAGCCGATTCTGTACGTGTGGGTGTTGCCATAACTGAGGGGTATAGGAGAGTGTCATCAGTGACAACAAGCAGTGGGTTTCTCGGGGTAGAAACTGGCGTCTGTTCAAACCCAACACTGCATACAGTTCTATAAGTCTGCAAAGGGGAAGTTTGTGACAACAGAAGGGTTTTCTGGATGTCTTTTTGTGTACTTAGTTAAAAGTTTGTAAGTTATATAGCACATTACATGATCAACGCAGTAACTAACATAATCTTGATTATTCCCTTGGCTCAAGGTGGATATCTTTGATCTGTAGCTTACGGACTTGTAACAAGTTTTAAACGTGGAATCTGGAAGTAGATCTAGAAGTAGAAGGATCTCGGAACAACTTGTTTGCCGGCATCTTAGCTCCTCACGGGGCGGAACAAAACAACTCCCCCGGGGGGTGTACAGGTGTTCCCCGGCGCGTGGACGGCACCGGCCCGGCAGCTGCGGTTTCAGGAGTCGATATCAAACCAAACCTTCTTCATGGCAACTTCCCATCCATCTGTCATATTACACCTGGACTGGTGATCGTCTGAGGGTCTGGCTGGAGTGGGCCGTCTGCAGGAACAGCCACACATCCAAGGTCTAACTTTTATTCGGGCAGCCGGGCGGGCAGTTATAGAGGGGGTAGTCGGATATTTCAGTACAGGATAAACACACGTACTTGTGCATAGAAATATATGAAGGAAAGGGGAAAAGGCGACGACGGCAATACATTCATGGGTCAAACATATTGAATAAAGCTCACAGTGGGACTATCGTGTTCAATAGTGATGATGGATTCATTGACGCTTGTGTGATCGCAAATATACAATATTCTTTTTTTTCTCGCAAACGTTAAACTTAAAACTCTGCCTTATTTGTACTGGTATTCCTTTTTTTTCTATTCAGCAATTGTTTTTTTTTTTTGGTTCTCTGTGGATTTTTTCTCGATGGAATTTTCCTACGTCGTGTCCACGGTTAACTGGTCATGACCCAGAAGAAATACAACCTTATTCTTACCGTTTTCCTGATCTTATCTTCACAGACGTCTCCGCTTTGAATAGGAAGCAACAAGAGAAACTTTGTCTTCTCGCTAATGCCTAATCCTATAAGATGAAAGATGGCTACATTTCCTTTTCATTAGTTAATGTACTTTGGTGTTCTCATGACAAAGCATTAAAGCAAAAGAAGAACTATTCAAGGTCTTGACGTTCTGAAGATAAATACTTTATTATTTTGGTTACTATGTGGTGTATTTTTGTTGGCTCTTGAACAAAGACATGAAGGCGTCTGAGGCAAACAAGCGGCGGCTGTGGGGAGGACAGACAGCGGGTGAAAGGTCTCGTGTGAGGTGGAGTCATTTGTCCCGACTCACACGCGCGCGCACTTTGCTTATCAGCGCCGGAGCCGTCCGTGCCTGCGCCTTCACGCCAATCAAAACAATCGACACAAGCGATACGGCGGTGCTATGCCGTCTTCTGAGGTCTTGTCATGACAGCTGAAGGTTAATTGGTCACTATAAGTACGATTTCTACTCTTCGACTTCGCACAACAGAAAATATTCGTTTGTCATGCTCCGGTGTGCTGCACAGTACGTAAGAGTGGACACAGGCTTGGTCGGAGGTACTAGTAAATGATAATGTTCATGCTATGTATGTGAAAAAAAGAGATCAAAAAGATAAAATATAATTAATATCCCAGTTATTTATTTGTGGTATTTAGGGTTTAACAGCCTGATATTTCCTGCAGAGTCCACAGATCAGACCGTGAAGCTCGCGCCGATGACAGGTGTATGAAAATGTTCTTTGTGCCAGGAGCCGCTTGGGCGCGACCCACCGACCAATGACGAGGCCGGGTCCGTGCGGCCCTCCTCCTTACTGGCTCTCTGTGGCTTCTGGCACGCTCTCACGGGGATAGTCTGACAGAGGCACCGCGCGGTCGTCAAAACTATTCGTGTATTCGGCCTCATGGGTAAACAAACCACCGACCTCTGAATATGAGTAGACGTATGGAAAAGACGGGTCGTTTTCTGTGGGAGGGGTAGGGTGACGGCAGGACGCGGGCTGCCCACAGAACACTGGCCAGCGGGACGGACTGCTACATCAACAGGAAACTGGCTAATGATTTCCGGCTGGAGATTCCCGTGTGTCTGACGCTGTACCACAGGTGTTCTGCCTCGCCAGGTGTACCTGTGTCTTTCCCCGCCTCAGCAGCCCGGGTCTGCCCGCGCCAACCGCAGGAGTGGGGCGCCCATTGATAGCGGGATATCGGAGACCGCTGAACAAGGGGGTTAAAACAACTACATATCACCTTAATATGCTTCCGTTGTCATAACCACCCCGGTGGTCATATCATATGATATTTGCCGTCTTATGATGCTGCGTGCATGTGGCGGCAGCTTGGGCGGGTGAGAGTGGACAGGTGACAGTACTGATGAGTGACAGTTGGTCGGACGGGCGCGCACTCCACTCCTCATCCGGCACTAGACTGGGATTTTTCTCGGAGTTCTTTGTAGCTGTTGCCAAGGTACGGACTTTTGAATTCTGTATAACGTTGCTATGGATACAGAAGTCTTTGAATAGTTACCACTGACCTGAACGTTTCGTGCGGTCATCAACTAACGATTACGACTGGAAGGTTCCTACATAAGTTCGATAAGTTAACTTCACTCCTATTTCTTAGGTGCCTTCTATATGTCGAGTCATATTTTCCGCATATGGGTGGATTTTTTATGAGTACCGAGGAAAAGCAATCAACGACTACTCTAAATCAAGAAGACCTATTACATATTGTATCGTCTCGTAATTAATATCTGTTGTTTCTTGCTCATTAGACGCTGTGTGTTTAAGATAGAGTGACGTTGTTTGCCCTCCACTTGGCAACCGTAGTACCCAACAGGTGCCAGCAGATCGGTTTGAAGCCGCGGGATTTGCCGTTGTTTAGTCAGGCTTTCCTTACACACCGCCAGCGCCCCGTCTGTCATGTACAGCCGTGTTTGAACGTTCCGATCTCTGCCACCTGTAGGCTTCTCTTTACCTCCTCAATAACCGCCTTCTTCGTTAACTATTCGATCAATGTAGTACGCGTACACGCCAAGCCAGCATGTCTCTCATACTAGACTTGTTGAAGAAACGTTACTTTGTGTACGAACTTATCAACGAATCTATCGTGCACACGGCCTGTATTTGTTCTCTAATTCGCTGTAAACACCGGGAGCCTAAACGCGGGCATGTCGGATGTGGACCTGGTGGTCCAAAATCTCGATTTCACAGAGATAATTAGTGCTTACTACATGGTGTCGGACACGTTCCCTCGGCAA